TGTATGATGGGCCACTCATAGTAGAGTGTAAATCATACATTTTTGTTTCATTGCCTTTAGGTACCGGTCTCATGTTCATGAGTCCTGAATATGGGGCCACTATATGTTGCCTGCCTTATTCCAATAGACACTCATGACACTTATGATTGTTTGCCTCCATGCCTCCATCACCATAATACACTCCAGCATGTTCTGAGTATTTGGATTGATATGCTCATTGCATGGTGATGTTGTGGCAGAAAATAGCTTCTTTTTATATCTTTGAAGATTCCTAAGTTGTTTGTCTGCTGTAGGAGTATCCAAAGAATGGAGGACATGAGGGATGTCATGTGGTTCATATCCCATCATGAGGAGGAAGGAGGAGGAGTCAGGTATTGTATTTTTAGTGATTGTGAACAAATTCAGCAAGGGGGAGGTGCTCAGACCATTCCATAGAATTGATTCTGCAATAGATGCAAAATTGGGTTTCTAATTCATGGTTGAGGCATTCTGTCTGACTATCGGTCTGAGGATAGTATGTGGTAGATGCAGTGATCTAATATCTAAGGAGCCAAGTGAGTTCTTGAGAGAATATTGAGATGAACTACTGACTGCAATCTAAGATAACCTTATTGTAGAGTCTAAAATGTCTGAAGACATTCTTAAAAACGAGTTTGACTATTCCTTCTAAGGTAATATTTTTGTTGCAATAAGTAATGATTACCTCCTTCATAAGGCCATGGTCTATCATGACATGACTGAGTCAAAGCCTCCAGAGAGCAGAAAGTTGGTGATGAGATATAGATTTTGAATCTGGTGACAACTTGACCAAGACTAATGAAGATCAATGTCTGAGATGCTATCTAGAAGCAGATATTCAAAACATATTCTTATAGAAAAAAAGTGACATCCCACAAGTTTCAAACTCATTGCACCCTAGTAGAAACAGATTTTGATTCTATGATAACAGCCACTTAGCTAAACAAAGCTATAATGAGCTTACAAACAAACTAATCATGAGCATATTTCAAGGTGTGCTTTTATAGAACATAAATTGTATCAATGGCAGGTTTCAAACCTGCACAGTCCAAGAGAAACCAATTTTGACTCTGGTGATTACTTGGCAAATTCATCTTCAGCAGGTTTTGAACCCATGCAGACAGATTTGAATTCTGCAGTATTAACTACTTGGCTGAAACTAGTTAGATGCACTTCTAATAAATACATTCAGTAGTGAATCCTCAAAGCACATTGATCTGCATTTTGTCAGTTTGTTTAATAGTATGATCATTATTTTTTGTTTATCCTGCTCAAACCCACCAATTGCAACATCTGTTTTCTATGAAAACATGCTCTGACATTTGCTTGAGCACAGACATCAATTTCTAACATCCCTATTGGATTTAACTGTGTGATCTTTTTATTGTTAGTTTGCACTTATGAGCCCACTGTGATGGTCTATGTTAAGGTCGTACTCTCGTAGGATTGGATCCGAAGGACTTCGGCCTCAGCTCGTATGTTGTGTCCCTTTCCCAAGTACTGTCTCTTATTTCAAAGTACTAACAATAACGCGTCTGAAGGTCCAGACAGGTCTCATAGATATATCCGGATGACTTCCAGATATCGGAAACACGTATAAGACTAATCTGGACAGATCTGGACTAGAAACGAACAGAGTATAGACTATCCGAAGATAGAGTTGGAAACGTAGACTATCGGAATTGATCCAAAGTCTCAGAGGTTTGACAAGAGTTGAAGACTCAAGTCCGGAGAACAGAAAGAGGACAAACTAAGATGATATTCGAACTGAGGTACTACAGGACATATACACAGGCTTATATACTAAGAGGATAATGAAACAATAAGTAAGCAAAGGTCCGAGGCTATGTACAAAGCATGTGCAAAGGTTATCAAACGCGAGTCGGGAATGAAGCATAGGTTAACAGATCAGTAATCATACCGGTAATAAGTATAGCCGAAACACCGGGAAGAGGAAATACCGAATAGGCTGTGTTTAATATTAAATGAACAGGAAATGAAATAGGAAGCTTATCGGATATTGGATCAGAAGCGGATCTATGCATCGGACCGGACTGGATCCCAGGGTCCGAAGTCTGGAAGAGAAGCGTGAATATATGGGATATGACAGTCTGCCTGCCATCAGCACTTTTTCAAGGAAAATTGTTGGATAAACAGGTCTTGAAGTCAAGAGCCCCAGCAGAAGCCTGTGTTTTTTGCAATGAAAGCAGTGTAAAATAATCAACAGTGACCATATTATTGAAAGAACTGACAAAATGCAGATAAATGTGCCTTAAGGACTCACTTCTGAATGGGTTCATTGGAATTAAATCCAACTGCTTTTAGTCAAGCAGTTAATGTGACAGAATCTACATCTGTCTGTGGGGGTTCAAAACCTGCCAAAGATGAAATTGTCAAGAGACTGCCAAAGTTAAAATCTGTTTCTCTTGGACTGTGCAGGTTTAAAACTTACCAGTGATACAATCCATTTTCTATGAAAGTACACCTTGAAATATGCTTATGGTCAGTTTGCTTGCAAGGTGATCAAAGTTGTGTTTAGCCCTGTGACTGTCATAACAGAATCAAAATGTGTTTCTATTGGAGTGCAATAGGTTTGAAACCAGTGAGACATCACATTTTTTTATATTTTTTCTATAAAAAATGCCTTAAATATTGAATCATAGACAGTATCTCAGACACTTATCTTCATCAGTCTTAGCTGAGTTATCTTGAAACCTGCTAATGATAATATTTTTATCCTATGAAATCACACCTTGACATTTCCTTGTGAAGAGTGCTCTGATTGCAGACCTGTAGGCTTTGATTGAAACATATTTTGAATATATTGTGGCAATGATATGGAAAAGAGCATTTATGATGGATTTCGAAGAAAACTATTAATGAGGAAATATCAGAGTTTAATTTCATAGAATAAAAATATCATCATCGGCATGTTTCAAATCTGCAAAGTTCAAGAGACACAGATTTTAACTCTGGCAATAACTTGACTAAGACAAACGAAGATCAATGTCTGAGATACTGTCTATGAGCAAACATTCAAGGCACATTCTCATAGAAAAAATATAACATTCAACAGGTATGAAACCTGTTATGTTCCAATAGAAACAGATTTTGATTCTGTTATAACAACCACTTACCTAAACACAACTTTGATCAGCTTGCAAGCAAACCAACCATGAGCATATTTGAAGGTGTGGTTTTATAGAAAACAAATGGTGCAACTGGTAGGTTTCAAACCTGCAATGTCCAAGAGAAACAGATTTTAACTCTGGTGATCACTTGGCAATTTCATTTTTGACATGTTTTGAACCCACACAGGCAGATTTGGATTCTGTTGTACCAACTGCTTGGCTAAGAACAGTTAAATGCACCTCCAATGGACCCATTCACAAGTGAACCCTTAAGGCATATTTATCTGCATTTTGTTATTTCTTTCAATAATATGGTCACCATGATTGATTTTTTTATTCTACTCTTATTGGAAAAGACATCAGACTTCTCCCAGGCCTCTACTTTGAGACATGTTTATCCAGCAATTGCTTAAAAAAAGTGCTGATAACAGACCACCATGGTGAGCCAATGATGTTTGTGATGTCTTGAGATTAATAACCAGGTCATGAGTGACAACTGACAATGGAAGGATCACATATGGTTGGGCTCAAGGGGGATGTTAGAAATTAATGTTAGAACTGATAAATGTAGCTTAAGAATTCACTTCTGAATGTATTTATTGACAGTACATCTAACTGGTCTTAGCCAAGCAGTTAATATAACAGAATTCAAATCTGTCTGTGCAGGTTCAAAACCTGTCAAAGATAAAATTGCAAGTAATCATCAGTGTTCAAACGTGTTTCTCTTAGACTGTGCAGGTTTGAAACTTGCCGATAATAACATTTTTATTTTATGAAATCACACCCTGTTCCATACCAAGCACTACATTTTTGTGCATGCCCTATACTACATGTCCATCTATTGTCCAATCCAATACTGCTGATATATTTTTATCATTTTATTTTTATATCATGCTGAAGGATGCTCTCAGCTACAGACCACAATGTATAGATGCAAGAGAAGCATTCTCACTGCATTCTGCTGCAAAACTAGTACAAAGCAGTCACACCTAGGCTGCATTGAAAAAGATAAAATAGACACAAATGATATCACTTTGATGAATACTCCAAAATGTCTAACTGTCCCTATTTGCTTGCACTTGGGTCTCTGAGAATCTATACACTGCAAAAGATTTTGCAAGCAGGTTTTGAACCTCCATGATTTGAAAGAAACAGATTTTGACTCTGTTGCAACATCTACCTGGCAAAAACCAGTGATATGAAGCTCTCTGGAAAGTACACATGAGTTGATGTCAAGGTGTGTTCTAACAGGAAAAACAAAAACATCTATCAATTATGAGGAAATGTCAAGGTGTGATTTCATAGAATCAAAATGTTATACTTGGCAGGTTTTAAACCCATGCATGCTCAGAGGAACAGATTTTGACTCTGGTAATCACTTGGCAATTTGATCTTTGGTAGGTTTTGAATCCATGCAGACAGATTTAGATTCTGTCATATCACACATTGGGGTCAGCAATATTTAAGAGTGCTGAACTTGAAGTTTTAACTGGGTTTTAATGTTTGACAAAACTTTGACCGCCAAAACTTCAAGTTAAGCTAGACATTTATGCCAATTTATATATTTGTTACTTAATTTGTTACTTAATCAAGGTGAAAATGTCTACAAATACATGAAGTTTTTGACCACCCAAAGTTTGAAGTATTGTCTTCGCATTTTATACAACATGTAAAGCACTCTTAAATATTGCTGACCCCAATGTGTCAACTGCTTGACTAAGACCAGTGAGATGCACTTCTAATGAACACATTCAGAAGTGAATCCTCAAGGCACATTCATCTGCATTTTATCAGTTATTTCAATAGTATGGTCACTGTTGATTCTTTTATCCTTGATGCAAAGTTTAATATATGACCAAAGTCTTGATGCAAACTTGGAATGATAAGCACAAGAGCAATTTAATTCTCTCCAAAGGTCTTGATTTGGTTGAAGAAGAAGAGCAGATAATACATCAAACTTTTAAGTTTGATCCTAATGACCTGGAGAATGATGAAGAATACATATCTGTCAAGGCTGAGATTCAAGATAAAGAATCAAAAGAGCCATCTGACCACTATTTGCTCATGTATAAAGTTGAGGTGCACTGTGTTTGAAACTCTTTCATTATTATGTTGCTCTTCTCTTGCTTTTTGAAAGTGCTATATTGTAGTTTATATTTAATTCATTTGTTCAGCTAAGGGAAGACATTGTGAGTGACAGGGAACAGTAGACTAGCCTTGCAGAATCACTTCTAGATGTTTTCTTGAAAGATGCTTCTGACTGTTCTCAGCCAAGCAGTTAATACAACAGAATCCAAATCTGTCTGCATGGGTTTAAAACCTGCTAAACATGAAATTGTCAAGTGATTCTAAGAGTCAAAATCTGTTTCTCTTAGACTGTGCAGGTTTGAAACCTGCCAATGATAAATTTCATTTTTTATGAAATCACACTTTTACATATACTCATAGTCAGTTTGCTTACAAGCTCATCAGAGTTGTGTTTAGCCAAGTGGTCATTCTGACAGAATGAAAATCTGTTTCTATTGGAGTGCAATAGGTTCGAAACCTGTTGAATGTTATATTTTTTCCATAAGAACATGTCTTGAATATCTGCTGATAGACAGTATTTCAAATATTGATCTTTATCAGCCTTAGTCAAGTTGTCACCAGAGTTAAAATCTGTTTCTCTTGCACTTTGCAGGTTTTAAACCTGCTAGTGGTAATATTTTTATTCTATGTACTTTGGCTCTGTCTTGTGGGAGCATGTTTAGTCATTATGAGCCATAGATAGTAGCTATTGAAATATAATAATCAAGAAGTTAACAGAAGAAATAAGAAGAAAAGTCAGACTGGACATCTGTATAGTTTCCTACCCTCAAAGTGCCCTATATCATACATGATTTCATTGTCCAATCCAACCTCACTGGTATGTTTCTGTCACTTTATTTTCATATCAGATTATATTATGCTTTAGACTTTAATGATTTGATCATTTGTGTGTCATGAACCTTTATTACATATTTTACCTACTCTCTTTACAAGCACTTTGGCTCCAGTTCATGCTGACATATATAAGTGCCTCCAGTTCATGTTCTTAAATATAAGCTTCCTACACCACACTATCAGTGTATATGGTCTCTGGTCAACCCCCTCCACTCCTGGTAGCTGTTTGAATGGTGAGACATACTATGTTTGTGCTGCATATGCAAATTTTGCCCATAACTACTGACCTGCATGAAAAAACTTGTCTGGATACTGTGTGACCCTTATGTGACCAAAAGTGTTTAAATCATGAAGGTGTCTGGGTACACCAATCACATAACTAACAATATAGTGATTGTGAGGTAAAATAACAACCTTAAAAAACACCATCAATGAGTGACCTTTTTCATTCCTCAAGATCCTCCTAATCAAGTAGATAAAAGTAAATTATGTTGTTATGATGCTTCAAGATAGTGATCACAACTTGTTTAATGCAATTGTAGACTGTTCCAATAGATACTCCTACCAAATCTGCCAAGTCCTTCATTATTACAGCATTGTCATAGTGCCTGATGTCATTGAGGAAATTTGCAAGCTGAATTGAAACAGGAAGTTGTGGGTTATTAGATTGATTATAAAAGATTTTGTGTCCCTCAAGGGGGTCGACAAAATTGTCAGATATTCAAGACATGTTCTTATGGAAAAAATATAACATTCAACAGGTTTCGAACCTATTGCACTCCAATAGAAACAGATTTTCATTCTGTCAGAATGACCACTTGGCTAAACACAACTCTGATGAGCTTGTAAGCAAACTGACTATGAGTATATGTAAAAGTGTGATTTCATAAAAAATGAAATTTATCATTGGCAGGTTTCAAACCTGCACAGTCTAAGAGAAACAGATTTTGACTCTTAGAATCACTTGACAATTTCATGTTTAGCAGGTTTTAAACCCATGCAGACAGATTTGGATTCTGTTGTATTAACTGCTTGGCTGAGAACAGTCAGAAGCATCTTTCAAGAAAACATCTAGAAGTGATTCTGCAAGGCTAGTCTACTGTTCCCTGTCACTCACAATGTCTTCCCTTAGCTGAACAAATGAATTAAATATAAACTACAATATAGCACTTTCAAAAAGCAAGAGAAGAGCAACATAATAATGAAAGAGTTTCAAACACAGTGCACCTTAACTTTATACATGAGCAAATAGTGGTCAGATGGCTCTTTTGATTCTTTATCTTGAATCTCAGCCTTGACAGATATGTATTCTTCATCATTCTCCAGGTCATTAGGATCAAATTTGAAAGTTTGATGTGTTATCTGCTCTTCTTCTTCAATCAAGTCAAGACCTTTGAAGAAATATGTCTGTATTCAGATGCACATTTAGTTTTGGTCAGCACTACAATAACACCGCTGGTATCAATTTCCTAACTCTCTTAAACAGTGAGTGCTTTTGGACAGCATAAAGTTTTCTCAGAGTGCATCAATAAAGCCTTGTAGATCAAAGATGGAGAACACATTTGTACTGTGTGGTAGCGGAATGAAAGCTACACAACCCCAAAGCATGATTTAAGGCATTTGTGCTTAGGATGTGGAGCCACATCACATGAAGCCCAGAGATGTTCTTGGACACAGAAAAGTGCATTCACAAACATCATATAAAGCGGATGTTTGAGAGTGCAAGCTACAACATGAAAATACACATGAGTCAATGTTAAGGTGTGTTCTAACAGAGAAAACAAACATATATCATTCATGATGAAATGTCAAGATGTGATTTTGTAAAATAAAAATGCTATTACTGGTAGATTTCAAACCTGTGCAGTGCAAGAGAAACAGAGTTTGACTCTAATGATCACATGATAATTTCATCTTTAGTAGGTTTTAAACCCACACAGACAGATTTAGATTCTGTTATATCAACTGCTTGGCTAAGACCAGTCAGATGCACTCCTAATGAATCCATTCAGAAGTTAATCCTCAATGTACATTTATCTGCATTTTTTTTTAGTTCTAACATCAATTTCTGACATCCTTCTCAAGCCCAATTGAATGATACATTTCTGTTTTATGTTGCAACATGCTTAATTGGATATTTTCTCATGGACAGTTTCTCAGACTTTGATCTTCCTTGTTTCTAGTTCATAATTTATCAAAGTCAAAATCTGATTCTCCTAGACTAAGCAGGTCAAAAACATGTATCACTTAGCATATTTTAAGCATGCGCAGTCCAAAATAAACAGACTTTAATTCTGTTGTAACAACCACTTGGCCAAGACTGGTCATGATGAGTTTTTGAGGCAACCATTCATGAGCAAATATTCAAGGCATATTTCAATGAAAAAAATGTAATTATATAGGTTTTAAACCTGCTCAGTCTAGGATAATCAGATTTTGAATCTATTGTGGCAATAACACAGCTAAGACTATTTTTGAGAAAATAATCTATGAAGAAATGTCAGGGTATGATTTCATAGAATAAAAATATTATCATCAGCAGGTTTCAAACCTGCGCAGTCCAAGAGAAATAGATTTTGACTCTATTGACAACTTGACTACAGACCAATGAAAACAAACATCTTTACTGGTTTCAAACCTGTTGCAGTCTAATGGAAACAGGTTTGGATTCTGTTATGACGACCACTTGGCTAAATACAACTATGAACAGCTTGCAAGCTGACCGACCAAAAGCATATGTCAAGGTGTGCTTTTATAGAATACAAATAAAAATGTTATCATTGGCAGGTTTCAAACCTGCACAATTTAAGAGAAACAGATTTTGACTCTGGTGATTACTTGAGATTTCATTTTCAGCAGGTTTTGAACTCATACAGACAAATTTAGATTCTGTTGTATCAACTGCTTGGCTAAGACCAGTTAGATGTGCTTCCAATAAACCCATTCAGAAGCAACTTACATATTTTTGCCTATTAGCTGCGCTTCCAACTTGCTTCCACATGCTGAGAACACACTTAGAATTTGTTGAGAAGTAGTTATAGCATGGTAGAATTTAGACTTAGAGTTTGGACGATCTGCAGGATGGTGGTGGAAACTTGTTAAAAGGTAGATAATACATGGTGCTATGTAAGTAATTCCAAGTGCAATCTCAGAGCATGAAAGCAAGTCAGAAGCGAAGCGAATATGTAAGTAAGTGTCCATGACATAAAGATGCAATATGTTTGCACATAGTGCCAGAGATGTTGTCAGAATACACAGGGATATAATGGCAATATGCACTGACAAACCAAAACATGCATGAAATGGACAGAAAGAGGACAAGTGATCGAGCTAAAGGTGCACACACTGATGCACAACAAAAGTGCTTGTGCTAGTAAGCATGTGCTGAAGTGCCAGGTGTGTCAAATGAAATACACATCACACTGCGCTATAAAAGTGCTTAGAATGATGTGAAAATAGACCTCTATCAGGAACCAAACATGTTGTAAAGTATTGATTGCATTGTCATATGGTCTGATATAGAAATAAACAATAATATATAAAGCTGAGACAGTGGGCACAGTTGCAGTAGATTTGGTGTTGTATAGATTTAACCTGCAAAGTCCAAGAGAAACATTTTGACTCTGGTGACAGCTTAAGTAAGGATAATGAAGATCAATGCCTGAGATACTGTCTATGAGCAGATATTTAAGGCATGTTCTTATGAACAAAATGTGATATTCAACAGGTTTTAAACCTGTTGCACTCCAACTGAAACAGATGTCTATTCTGTCAGGACAATCACATGGCTAAACACAGCTCTGATGAGCTTGTAAGCAAACTGATCATGAGCATGTGTCAAGGTGTGGTTTCATTAAAGAAAATGAAAATTATTATTAGCAGGTTTCACACCCGCACATTCCAAGAGAAACAGATTTTGACTCTAATAATCACTGGAAATTTTATCTTTAGCAAGTTTTGAATCCACACACACACAGATCTGAAACAGACTGGAATTCTGTTGCAGCAACTGTTTGACTAACACTAGTTAGATGCATCTTCAAAGAGACCATTAAGAAGTCAATCTGTAAGGCAGGTCTACTGTTCCCTGTTACTCATAATGTTTTCCTTTAGCTAAATAGATGAATTGAATACAGAATGCAATACAGTACTTTCAAAAAGCAAGAGGAGAGCAATAAGATGATGAAAGATCTCAAATACAGCTTGAATCTTTGCCTTGATAGATGTGTATTCTTCTTCATTGCTCAGGTCATTAGAATCAAACTTGATGTATAATCTGCTCTTGTTCTTCAACTAAGTCGAGACCTTTGGAAAGAATTAAATTGTTTTTGTGCTTATCATTCCAAGTTTGCATTAAGATACTCGCATTTGCCTCTGGTGATTTTTTAGCAAAAAATATTCCTAATTTGTGCATAAAACAAACAGCAATATCAATCAAGCTTGAGATCATCAGTGGTAGATGAGATAAAAGAAGTAGAGATAAATATTTTACATAAATGAATCTTTGAACCTGGTTGGATGAGATAGAATTTGATGTCTGAGCCTGAGGAGACCTGATCCTTGCATTCATACACCATCACCTTCATCCCAGCCATGATATTTCACCTCATTACACTGGATGCAGACATGAATTTCTGACACCCCTCTTAGGCCCAATCATATGTGATCCTTCTATTTTTATTTGTCACTTGTGGCTCAGATATTATTATCAAGACATCACAAACATCATGGGCCCACCATGGTGGTCTGCCATCAGCACTTTTTCAGAGCAATTGCTAGATAAACAGGTCTTGAAGTCAAGAGTCCCAGAAGAAGTCTGATGTCTTTTGCAATAAAAGCAGGATAAAGGAATCAACAGTGACCATGCTATTGAAAAAACTGAGAAAATGCAGATAAATGTGCCTTGAGGCTTCACTTCTGAATGAGTTCATTGAAAGTCCATCTCACTGATCTTAGCCAAGCAGTTGATACAACAGAATCTGAATCTGTCTGTGTGGGTTCAAAACCTATGAAATATTAAATTGCCAAGTGATTGCTAGAGTCAAAATCTGTTTCTCTTGGACTATACAGGTTTGAAATCTGCTAATGATAAAATTCATTTTCTGTAAAAACATACCTTGAAATTTGCTCATGGTCAGTTTGCTTGCAAGGTGAAGGAAATGTACCTTGAGGATTCACTTCTGAACTGGCTTGTTTGGAGTGCATCTAACTGGCCTTAACCAAGCAGTTGTTGGAACAGAATCTACACCCAAGGGAATGTACGAACATACTCACAGAGGTTTCCATTGATTGTGGACCCTTGCTTATGCTGGATAGCTGTGAGTGATATCCTACAAAGTCACTATATTAGTGATATAGTGGAACTACATACAAGAAAAGAGAGCAATGCACTGAACAAGATCCCTAGTCCCCATGACCACCCTTTGTAGCACCAACAAACATCATGTGGGTCTCCAAAATGAAATCAGAAATTCCCAGCCACAACATATTGAATGATACATACTTCTGACAGGATCTAACTATGACATTTCAGACTTGCTGGGTTGAAAACAACTGGGACTGGATTTGCCGTATGCTGATAGTAAATCAAATTTTGAATGATTCAGGGTTGGAGGGTCATGGCGAATTAAATATTGCTAAGTGATAGTACATAGCGAATCGATGGTGAATGATTTGCAACTGCTGGGAGCAAAACATTGAATCCAAATTTAGGACCTGGATGTGACTTTATGTAATTATTGACAGTGATTTACTATTAATACTACACATTGATATCTTCAGAGTGCAATATTTTTGTTGGATGACAAGCTCTGGGATGCTTTGAGCAATTAGATTAATGCATAAGGGGGAGAAGCATTCATGTGAGGTTCAGAAAGTAAGAAAAACAAGTGGTCGTATTTCTATTTCTATTTTGGCATAGGTCCATTCAGAGGGAGAAACAAGGAGCTGGAGTGACCAATGAACTGCAGTGCATGTGTCCTCCAAAGACATCATCAGTCTCGTTCTCTGCTGGCGGTAAATGAGCTCTGTGACACTGCACCTACTACATCCAAGAGGTGAGTCTTCTGATCATGTATCCTTGTCACTCTTATGGAGCAGTGAGATTATGGCAATCCTTTTAAAGAGAACCAGGATGGCATCTTTTTCTGCATGGAACAAATTGAGTGCTTTAGATAAAGTACTGGACTCTCCATGGACATTGGAAAATTCTGGAGACAACACCAAATTCCCAAGTGTTGCCTGATAGATCAAATGATGTTAGGCTAATGATATTTGGTTAAGTGCACATTAGAAGCTATGGATACAAAGTGTGTTAATAAGCATGTACCGAGATCACCAATGTCCGACTCCCACATTGTTCAACAGAAGACAACAGAGTTTTGGCTAGAGCATTAAGAAAGCGCATAAGTACATCATTAAAATATCAGTGTCCATGTCACGTCGCAGTCAGTTCCACTAGTGAATGAAAGTTCCAGGGATATTGAAGGAGGGATCGGCCACACTATAGGATGAGTTGTGCTGTAAATTTGAAACAGTTCTGAAAAGTGAAGAAAAAAGGATAAAAACATGAAAAATTAAGAAGTAATGAAGCACAGTCAGAGAAATGATGGACCACAAACCTTATTTTGATTCAATCCACCCAACTCCAGGGCCATGGACCGAACTATATTGGACCATACACTCTGTACATACATGACACAATGTGCAAAATGATTTTGGCCCTATGAGAACCCATGAATGGAATGTCAAAAAGTATGAGCTGTGATTATACCGTGCATAAGGCCATCCCTCTGCTCTGTCGGCACACCTCCAACAGACAGAATAAAACCGAATGAAAAAGGTGATAAGAAGCGATGAGTAATAAAAGGAACAAAAAAAGAGTTTGGTGATCAAGCAAGAGTGACCAAACTTGTCATAGAAATCCCCTCACTTTAGCTAATGTAACAGGGCAGCTTAATGGGCGAGTAGCGGGTCACTACTTACCTGGAAATGACAATGTTGTTTGCTTATAAACTGGGTAACTTCACCAGGTCAACACCCACTTTGATATGTTCTAATAAACATCCAAATTGTAATCAGTGAAATATCACAATTAAAAGGAGTGAACCTATGGTATGATTACAGATAATTTCAGACCATCACATGCATGTAAATATACACAAACAAGGAGAACTTCTGCTCAGAACTGTCTATAGGATCTGGCCCGTCAAGATTTTCCAACACTGATTGAGAGTATTAGTCTAACCACATTGTGCTCCTTAAGCAGACGAGTTTCCCTCCGACCTTCTCTATCATTGAAATAACATTCTGTTTGTGAGCATGAAGATGATAGATTGAGAAATGTATGTCTTGGAGGGGCTGAAGGAGAGAGAAAGTCATTGAGGGATTCAAGTACACAATGGGGTTGACAAGGGCAGGAGCATCAATGTGAGCCTGTGCCAAAAAGAAGCTCCTGTCATATGGGTTTCAGAACAGTGTGCCTCATTGCATTTGTTGCTTTGCTCACACTTGGTCAGCATCGGGATCCTTCAGGTTGTTGTGACAAGTCAATGCGACTATAGCTCGATCTAATCTAGTGAAAGTTAACAGAAGGAATATCAGCACATGAAAGATGCGAGTTCAGAGCTCTTGACAGGTTTAGTAATATATAGCCAAGCTCAGAAATATAGAAGGTGAGGTGCTTCCATCACCCAACCTAAAATTTGGCGGATCACATAACTAGATGCAATATTAGCACAAAAAAAGTCTGTTCAAATGCGTGGTAGCAGCTCATAGATGATCCTTCTTCTGTTTCTGGATCATCTAGATAAAGCTCAGTGAACTTCTGACTGCAGTGAATATGATCTATCTCACCTTTGTACACACTTCAGGAAATCTCTGTTTGCAAACTTGATCACAGAGACGCTCATGATCAGTATATCTGGAAAAGGTGAAATGACTTCCTGGATGTCCCACTCTGAAAGCTTGTCAGCCATTGACTATGCAAGTCCAAATATCAACTTACAACATCGAGCAAGCCCTGGCAGGGCACATCAGTAAATTAATGAGTCCATAATATGGTAGTGGGTAGATAATCTTTGAAGTGATCCCTATCAGATAATGTAATGTAGTTTGCATAGCATGAAGGAGATGCGATGGAGTGCTGAGTACTATCCTCACTGACCAAGGGGCCGTATGAATGGCAGGCCATCATGAACCACAAAGTGGTGCATGTGAGCATTTATGCCACCACAAAATGGTGAATGAGTGTCTCTTGGCATGTCAGATCCATCACTGTCACTAGGACTATACTAGTCATTAGAGTCCACAGCAGTATTCGGTGTCTTATGGAGGAAGCCAATAGTTTCTTCTGGAAATTAACATCTCAAAGCTAGTAGTGTAGAAGGTGCACTTGTATGATGTGAAATTTACGAATGAGATTGATGTTATTGGACAGCACTTTGATTCCTAAATGACATAGATAAGTGATCAAAGGAGCAAGTATTAGATATTATGTGACAGAATTAACCAATTGATGTAAGTGTATAGTAACTCAAACACCTAATCTCATGTATAGAGAACATAACACAAGATAACCAGGAGAAAAAAATGATGGGTCCTTAGATCAGAGGAAGATTTTCTGCCAATATGCACTCTATCCCATGTGGTAGACAAGGGAGTAGAATCACTTTGGGAAAGGATGGCCCCAACTAATTGTCTCAAATCATCTGAGGTATCATGAGGGGATTGAGGTGTAGAATGTTACCACCTGCAAAGCATAGTTATTGATACAGGTCAAGATGTGAATTTCAACCAGGATTTACAGTTCAGAGAGTGCTGCTTGGGTATCAATGATTTTGAAGCAGTACTTTAGCCTGCCATGAGATTGTAGCACTCACATATCACTATAATGATTGTCTCGGCATAGTATTCGCCTGTGCCACCATGTTGCTGGCCAGAAAAGCAGAATTAGGTCCAGGTTGGATACTATATATACAAACAAACCACTATAATCTTTGTGTTGTTGGCAACTATCTAATTATTACAGCTGTTTGAGAAACTAATATCATTGGTGATTTTTTTTCACATGTGGAATATGTCTTGGATGTTCATGTTAGGACTCAAGACACGACTTTCTGTAGTTCTACTTAATATCTGAGTAGACACTGGCAGCACACTGGTCCATTCATTGTGATGGGGGAAGCACCCCTCCCTGATTTCCACAACTCTATTCATTCTATTAATGTGCACCATGTAACAGCTACACACCTATAACACACAGGTGCCGAAGGTACTATGAACTTAGGTACTACTAAAGTATAATCAGCTGTCAGCAATAATGAGAGACTAGTACATGAATGCTTAAACTTATATCAATGCCATCATAGAATTGGGCTTGCATCTCTGCTAGGCTCCGCATCCCACATTTTGGACATTGCCCCACCAAAAGCCTTCCCAAGAGCTAAAGCTAGCGATGTAGGTGCTGCATTACTAGTCTGTCTGAATTGCTGTAGACATGTCAGATGTAGAATGGTGCGCAACACGCAACAAAGGCTTATATCATTGATAGTTTTCCTCTTTCAGAAAATCTGGATGGACTCAAGGTCAGAGCAGGGTATACCAGAACTCATCAAAGGATCCTAGATGGGTGCCAGAGCATGGAGGGTTACAGTTATCACTTTTCACCTTTTACATTGTCACTATTACTAATCATTCCATAATGTTCCATAACATTCTATTGTACAATTCTTTGTTCTCTTTCTCGTTTGTTACTTATATTCAAGCTCTGTTTCAATACTATTATATATACCTTACTCTTTACACTTTGTATCTTTAACTTGACCTATGCAGACCAGGGCCTGCAATCTAACTTCATCTTCACTAGAACATTGATTTTACTTGGATCTTTGAACATTAAGATGTCTAACCAATGCTGAGCATAACATGGAGGGCCTTTGGTATACCAAGTAGTGACAGATGACGAAGTGTGGGAACACTGGCCAGGAAGAGACTGAATGCTTCAATAGGTGCAGTGATCCTGTTGAGCGATAATTCCTGCAGGTTCAAAAATGGGTGATGAGTAGCACAGTATCTTAGAAGACTATTAGCAGGGCTGTCTTCATTGCCATTGTCATTGTCATATGTGAGTTGTTTGCGGATGTAACTCTTGCCAATAGAAAGCTTGATCAGATTGGAGGCATGAAACCCTCTGAATAGCTTGGCAGGATTTCTAACTTGAGGGAATTCATAGTGAAGCCACTGGAGCAGGGGAAGTGATACTTAATATAAAGGTCGACCAGGCAGTGGCCCTGAGGCTCTTAGCACGAGATGTTGGAGGTGGGAATAAGCTTTTAGAATCCCCAAAAACTTATCAAATGTTAGTCTGACTTTACCACTATGGTGGGACAGCTCTAATGACTGGATACAGTGCCTGAACAGAGTAAGTGATTGAGTTAGGATCACGCCAAGGAGAGTAGAAAGGTGGAAAGTGGCCCAGTTCAAATGAATGTCATAGAGAACAATGTTATGTAGTTTGGGAAGGTGAGGAGATTGCACAGGAACTTCTTAAAGGTTAGCACCTATAAGAGTGGTGAATGGGGTCCCCTTGACTGTCTGAATGAACCTTGGATAGAAATTCCAGAAGAAAAAAATGGTGTTGTTGGTTCTTATGAGTTTTATAGACTTGAGATGAAGAGCTCCAGAGCCCTCTGTCCTGTGCTCATTTAGAAAATAAAGGGCACTATAAAGTGACATCCAAATATTGCTGGCTATATCCAGGGAATACCATCTGTACATCTCTGGGAACAACAGGTTGAGAACAGTGGGCATGCAGTGGGCGTGATGGCACATCATTGGAGTGAAATCCCGACACCTCCTTCTAAAGGCAGACATGTTTAGACAGGTGTAGGCTACAATGATACACAACTTACATCTGTCCTTCACAATTAGATGCTGCTCCTTATTGAGCTTTGATCATGATATCTATCAAGGATCTTCCTGATCATCTGATCATGGTGGCCAACTATGTCCAGCCAACTCCAGATTTATTGGAGACCATTTTGTAGAGATCAACGGTGAGTGTCGACAATAGGCTGGTGTGAGAGAGGGCTGCTCTCCTCTAGTGCCAGTGTAGAGACTCGTGTGTCTCATGGTCTGATATGACAGCTTTACACTAGGAAGTACATAGCATGAACTTGTAGTGTCACTCTGTGCGCTACCCGCAGCTATCTCTATATGAGGCACAGCTTTCCCGTGCAACGCGCACCATGCGCGCACCATTCCCGCGCTTCACGATGTATGCGCGCGCACGCGTTCCCGCGCTTGCGCGCCCTATAGCACCAGCCATTCAGATGCATCCATCCACTGTCCACCAAGCTCCCTAGTACGTATATTTCCATTTCCTTTATTAGCATAGTTCCACCTTTATTTTTATCATAGTTTCTCACTCATATATATTTTTACATACCTACTCAGTAGCACTTCGGCTCCGCATGACCGCGCTTAGGCGCGCTATATAAGCGCCAGCAGTACATACTACACTTTACCTTACTTTACCTCCCATTTACTTATTACTACTTACTTACTACTTAGCAGAACATAGTAGAACTCTATCTGTTTACACCTCGCATCTCTCTTCTCTTATCTAGTATCATATCATCACTTAAGTCTAACCTCTCTGTTGTTTCTGCATATGCACGCGCGCTTTCCCGCGCTTCGCGCTAATACGCGCGCGTGTTCCCGCGCCTTGCGCGCACCTGCGCTTTCTCGTGCTTCGCTTCAGCGCGTACCTGTAGATCTTTGCTGCACTCGCTTCCCCTATAGGGTCGAACGCACTTGCCATCTCAAGTATCGCAGACTAGGCAACGCACGACCTACAACATTTATAGATACAGCTAGGAGCTATCTTTGTTCCTGGCAGTATTGTTGTTTCTACACTGGTTTACTAATGCTAGTGAATCTGGCATCATGACACTTTAAGAGGCAATCTCGTATGTTTCATGTCATTTGAGGGAGCCATGTACAACTAGCATGAATATTTCAGATAGAGTTTCTGCTGGAAGTTTGGCAATGAAACATTGGTGGGGGACCTGGCCACTCACTGACATTAGAATACTAATGAGCTGCTAGGGGAATTCAATATGAGCAGGAGGGATTTAAAGTAAATTGCCTTTCACATAAGTCATACTCATGTTTTGCAGTGGAGTTCTGAACCAAAAGACATTGGCTATTGCAAGCATAAGCAAGATGCCAGATCTCGAGTTCACAAGATTTGTTGAGTGCCCATCATGCAGTCCTTTCAGTGGGTGTTCAATTGGCTAGAAGTCTACACAAATTGGCTCAGTGACTTTGAACCGAGATCCGAGATCTGACCTATGCCATGCACAAAGGCTATTCCAGACACCCATATATTACCATGGTAAACTGATTATATATGTACTTCATTTGGATAATGTTGTTGATATTGATGATAAGACATGGTGGCTAGTGTATGAGGTATGAAGTAGGGAGAATAAGTATGGTATGAATAACTGAATAACTGAATAGCCTACACCTACATTATGTAATATTTAGAGCTTGTATGCAAGCCAGTCCTCCAATGAGAGATGCAGATCCAGCCAAGCTTACTATATCAGAAGCAAATTAGGAAATAAAGTCCTGTTGTTGGTAAATAATATGCGCTAAGATATGTATTACTTACCATGTTGAAGTGAGATCTGGATGTGATGCAGTTGTGGACCCTAATCACCAGTGCTAAGCTACATTATCGGGCGGAGTTAGTAATACTTATATAAATATATACAAGCTGTGACATACATAAAGTGTATGAAGGATTAATGACTAAGGCAGAATAAGGGAGGATGATGTTAAAAGACACTTCGCTTTTCAAGACATGTTTAAGCATCTAAATATTGACGCTTGGATCCTCATGACTGACTTATTGACGTCGCTCTGACCATTGAGGCAGAGGGGCATGTTGTCACCTTGGCATGAGTCT